TTCATCTCGCTCCCGTTGGGATGTGACAAACACAGAGAGAACACCGGAGACACCCCCGGGAGCCGTCCTTGCCCAGCTGCCACGGGCCCATCAAGGCACAAACAGAGCCCAGGTGCCCCCGGTTACCCGAGAGCCTCAGAGGATCCAGCCGTGCCCCTCAGCCCCTGCCGAGGTGCCCCTCTGCCCCCCGGGCAGGGTATTTGTGGTGCCTCTGCCCGGGGAAGCGAATGCTGCAGCTGGGTGGGAGCGATGTCCCCGCGGGGACAGCCAGGCCTGGGGGCACAGGGGCTCTCCAGGGGAGGACTGGAGCCCACGGGATGACGGTGAGGTCCTGAGCTGTAACCGGGGCTTTAGGGCACCTCATGGTCAGCATTGCCGGGGGGTTTCACAGGCACCAGAATTTGGGGGCTGTCCTCTAAACTTTGTGGCCTCCTCCTGCTCCCCCAGCTCACCAGCCTGGACTGGGAAAACCTAACGGGGAAAAAAATAAATTTAAAAATCTCCTATTCCGGTATTTGGTCGCACCGAATAAAAAAAAAAAAAGGTTGTGCAAGCTGCTCTAGAGGAAGGTGTCCCTGCCCATGGAGGTGGGGTTGGAACGAGAGGAGCTTTAAGGTCTCTCCTAACTCAAAGCAGCCACAGCGAGCCTGTGATCCTGCGCCTTTCCCGTCGGGAAGCTGCAGCCGGAGCTGCAGGAGCGGCGCTGACCCGGGGCTGCGTTACCTTCGGCAGAGGCTCTGGCTGTCCATAAAGCACCGTGCGCGCCCAGGACAGGATTTATGGATTGAGCCTTCCCGGCTGCGGCTGCTCCCGGCGCCGGGCCCGCGGCGCAAGTTCAAGGTTGGTGAGAGCCGGAGAGCCCGGGAGGTGTTTAATGGCAAATGGATGTCTGGGGCTTTTATGGGCAGCAGCAGCAGCAGCAGCAGCAGGAGGAAAACTTCCCCGCGGCCGAGCAGAGCGGCCAGGCCCGCGCAGGTGAGTGCGGCTCCGTCCCGGAGCGGGCACGGCACGGCACAGCACGGTCTGAAGCGCTGCCCTGGCCTCGTCCCGCTCCATCCCTGCCCGGTGCTCGGCTCCACCCCATCAGTGAATTGGTGCCTATCGATCCCGCGCTCTCCGCAGCCGCTCCGGCCCAGGAACACCGGGAGGTTCAGAGGCGCAGGGAGGGCTCGGGGGGCCACAGAGGTGAGGGGAGGGGGACAAGGGGACAGCAGCTGCGGGTTGGGCCTGGGGCACGCTGGGGACAGCCAGGGCTGTGTTGTGGGGATGAAGGATGTGCGGAGTGTCATGGGAGGCACGGAGGGGGCCATGGGAAAGGGGGTGCAGACACTGGGGATGCACGGAGGAGGCGCAGCGGGAGGGGGTCAGGTGTGCCCAGCCCTGGGAAGGGATCCCGGGGCGCTCCGAGAGGAAGCCCCAGGCTCCCCGGAGTCCGCACGCTCCCCCCGGCCCGCGGGGGCTCGGCAGCCAGGTCAGGCGGAGTGTGCCCGGCCTGCAGAGAGCCGCCGCCCGCTCCCTTTGTCAATGTCCAGTAATTAAAATGTCACCGTTTAATTTTCAGGCCTCTCGGAGCAATCTTTTCCTAATAAAGAGTCTAATCGAAACGCTCCTTCCCCCGCCTCGGCGGGAAGGGCCGCGGAAGAGGCTGCGGAGGTGCAGAGCCGCCGCGGATCGATGGAGAGAAGCCCGGATTGATCGGCCTCTAAAATTAAATTTATTGGGGTCATGGTTTTATATGGTGCTGATACAACTGTTAAATGGGGAACATTCATTTCCAATAGGAGGCGTTTATTAAACTTCCACTGAATTAGACCGCCGTGATTTATGTGGCAATCTCGGCTCAGCCCTCCAGGAGCGCGGGGCCTTCCGCGCCCGCCACGCGTGATTATTTATTTATACACCCGTGACACGGCTCCCTAAGTTTTAACCTAAATTATCCCCCGGCTTCGTCTGCCAGCGGCACCGGCCCGGGGAACGGGGAAGGATGGGGGGTCCCGTCGGGGCGCTGCGCCCTCCCCGCCGGCCGCGGCCCCTCCGCGCCCCCCGGCCCCGGGGGTGTCCCCGGGGGGGGTCCCCGGTTTGGGGGGCGGCGGAGCCCGCAAACGTCCCGGCTCTCGCGTGCGGCGATCGTTGAGCGTTAATTAGAAATTCATTACAATTAAAAGCCGCGCGCACACGCCTTAATTACATCTGATTTTTAATTCCGAATCCGTGTTTACACAGTAAGCGAGACGTACCTCCTGATTATCCCCAATACTCTTTATACTGTACTAATTATGTAAATTAAACCTAATTAACTGACAAAAACTGCAGTCAATTCAACTGTTAAAAGATACGGCGGTTGCGAGGAGCGGGGAGCGCGGCCGGGGCGGCGGGGCCGGGGTCGGGCCCGGGGCCGCTCCCCTCCCCGGGGCTCCGCGCCGCCGTCGGGGCGAGCCGGGGGCCGCCTCCGCCGCTGCGGGCTCGGGCTGAGCTCCGCAGGCACCGGGCAGCGGCAGGGGCCGGGCAAGGGCACGGCGGAGGGAACCGGGGCAGAGCCGCGTCCTCCCGGAGCGCCCCCCTCTCCTCCCGGTCCCGGCGGAACCGGCTCGGTCCGCGCCGCCGCCCGCTCCCGGTGCCTCGCAGCCCCGCGCGGCTCCCGGGCGCGGCGGGATCGCCCCAACCGCGGTGCCGAGAGGGGCGGCGGGGCTCGACCAGCGCGGGAGCGTCTCACCGCGCTCCTGCCTCCGTATGGCTGGAGGAGGGGGGGCTGGCGAGGATAAATAATTAAAAGGCGAGGAATAATTACCGGCTCGGGTTGCGATCATTGCGGGAAGGCCGCGCCGCAAGGCCCGGCCGGCAGCGCCCGGTCCGCGTCCCCCCCGACGGGGCGTCCCGGGGGGAGCCGCGGCCGCTGTCCCGCGTGGGAGCGCGGCCGGAGCTCGGCTCTCCGCGGAGGAGAAGGGCGGCTCCGCACCCGCGTTCCGCTCCGCGCCGGCTCCGCCGCATCCTCCCGGTGCCGCCGGTGATGGCGGGGAAGGAAGGCGCGGGGGCACACACAAAAGTGATAGCTGGGGGCGATCCGCGCCGTTATTAACTTCTGTTTGATCGCTGTAATTGCGCCGATCGCGGCCGGACGCGATGATTAATTACAGTTTAATTAACGTGGCCGTGACGAGCGCCGCATGCGGGAACCCAACCCGGGCAGGGATGCGGCGAGAGGCCCCCGCCACGCCGGCACGACCGGCGGACACCGGAGCGCCGGGTCCCCCAAGCCGCTCCGCCGGTCCTGTCGGCCGGTCCTGCCGGTGTGGCGTGAGCCCCCGTGGGGAACGAAAAACCCGAGCTCGCCCCTCTCCGCCCCCTCCTCCCGGCGATTTCGTTGCCGCCCGATGTCCCCCGCTCGGCCCCGGTACCGCTCCCGCACCCGCGCCCCGCACCGGAGCGCGCATCCCGGCTGCGAGAGGGATGCGCGGTAGCAGCGCATCCCCGATTTCGATGGGGTCCCTCCGCCGCTCTCCCCGGGCTCCTCTTTTCGTTACCGCCCGCTCCCCGCGCAAACTTTCAACGAGCATCGCTCCCCCCGGGCTGGCGGCACGGCGGGAGGCGGGCGCGGGGGGGGACACGGGGACGCGGAGCCCCACGCAGGTGCAGCGCGGGGCCGATCCCCGCTCTTACCTCGGGCTGCCCGGGCGGGTCCCCGCTCGGTGGCGGCCCCCCACGCCCTCCCCCCCCCTCCCGCTCCCTCCCCGTTCCGCCGTGCCTTAAAGCCGCGCCGTGATTGACTGGAGCGCATCGGTGATTGACGGCGGCGGGGTCCCGGAGGCCGTTAATGTAAATATGCTGGTGCTAAGTGGGTGTGTCTTCCCGTTATTTTAGCTGTCACCGGATCAATGTGCAGCGTCTCCAAGTACGGATCCGGATCCTCCCTCGGTGGCGCGGCTGGTCACTCGCTCTTGTTGCATCTCGCCCGGGCGGACGCGGCGGCGGCGGGGCGGGCGGCGGCCCCGAGGCGTCGGTGAAGGGCGCGCCCGCTGCCCGCCCGCCCCGCGCCCCGCAGCTCCGGCTGCCCCGGGAACGGGCTCGCTGCGGACGGGCCCCCCCGGCCGATGGCGGCCCCGGCTCCGGGCTGCGGCCCCTAGTCCCGAGCAGAGCCTGCACGTCCAGCCGGGCTCCGCGGCGCGGTGAGTGCGAGCGGGAGGCGGATGGAGGGGTGGGCACGGGGATGGGGGGGGGCGCAAAGCTGGGCGCGTTTTCGGGACTCGCTCCCCGTTATTTTGTGTAATTACCACGGAAGCGGCTTAAGCACCGGGAGCCCTCCCCGCTAAGCCAATTTGCCTGGCTCGCTGCTGCCCTTCTGCTACGTGCGGCGGGCGCTGCCCGCCCCGGCCCCTAATCCGCCCGCGCCTAATCGCCTGCCGGGGACACCACAAAGGGGCTCCGGGCCACCGCGCCCGCCGCCCCGCTCCGCCCGCGGGCACCGAGCGCCAAGTTTGGGCCCGCCCGCTCCGGCCCGCGGCTCGGGCCCCCGGGACGCGCCGGCCGCATCCTCCGGCGCGTTTCGTTGGAGCCCGCCCGGAGCCCGCCGCAAACCGGCACGGCACGGCACGGGCCGGCGAGCCGGCACAAAGGGAAGGGACGCGGCACCTCCCGGGGACTCGGCGAGGGAGGAAGCGGAGGTGGTGACCCCCCCGGGGTGCCCTTGCCCCGGGCTCCCGGGGCCGCTCAGCCGCGGGGCCGCGCCCGGCGGGCGGATGCGGCGGCGCTCGGTACCGGCAGCCGCGGCGCGGGGGATGCGCTCCAGCCTCGCCGGACCCCGCCGGCCGGGGAGGGTCCTGCGGCAGCGCCCGAGGGGCTCCGGGTCGGGGCCGGCAGCGCCGAGCGAGGAGCGGGGGGGATCGGGCGCGCCGAGGAGCGCGGGGCCCCGGGAGCGGCGGGCCGGGAGCGGCGGCGGGGCCCCGGGAGCGCCTCTAACCTGCGCCTTTCCCCGATTTCGTTTTGCAGGGGCGTTTTGGGGGGGAATGGAGGCGATCGCCAGTCAGATGGGAAATGGGAGAGATGCAAGCTCCTCCCCAAATTCAAAGCAAGAGCTGCAGCCGTACCAGGGCTCCAATACCCTCAAGCCCAACCAAGTGGGTGAGACCTCCCTGTACGGCGTGCCCATCGTGTCCCTGGTCATCGACGGGCAGGAGCGGCTGTGCCTGGCGCAGATCTCCAACACGCTGCTCAAGAACTACAGCTACAATGAGATCCACAACCGGCGCGTGGCCCTGGGCATCACCTGCGTGCAGTGCACGCCGGTGCAGCTGGAGATCCTGCGGCGGGCCGGGGCCATGCCCATCTCCTCCCGCCGCTGCGGCATGATCACCAAGAGGGAGGCGGAGCGGCTCTGCAAGTCCTTCCTGGGCGAGCACAAGCCGCCCAAGCTGCCCGAGAACTTCGCCTTCGACGTGGTGCACGAGTGCGCCTGGGGCTCCCGGGGCAGCTTCATCCCGGCGCGCTACAACAGCTCCCGCGCCAAGTGCATCAAGTGCAGCTACTGCAGCATGTACTTCTCGCCCAACAAGTTCATCTTCCACTCCCACCGCACCCCGGACTCCAAGTACACCCAGCCCGACGCCGCCAACTTCAACTCCTGGCGCCGCCACCTCAAGCTCAGCGACAAGACGGCCACGGAGGAGCTGTCGCACGCCTGGGAGGATGTCAAGGCCATGTTCAACGGCGGCACCCGCAAGCGGACCTTCTCCCTGCAAGGGGCGGCCGCCGGCGGGCCCGGGGCCGGCTCCCCCGCCGCCAAGGCCGCCCTGCACCCGGCGCCGCCCGCCGGCCCCGAGCTGGCCCCGGCGCACAAGAGCCTCCGGTGCAGCGGGCAGGAGGCGGCGGGCGAGCGCGGCGCGCTGGGGCTGGCGGCGGCGGCGGCGCACGGCGGGGCCGCGGGCGCGCACGGCGGGGCGGGCGCGGTGCGCAGCTACCCGGTGATCCCGGTGCCCAGCAAGGGCTTCGGGATGCTGCAGAAGCTGCCGCCGCCGCTCTTCCCGCACCCCTACGGCTTCCCCGCCGCCGCGTTCGGACTGTGCCCCAAGAAGCAGGAGGAGGCGCTGGGCGGCGCGGGGGGCGGCGAGGCGGGTAAGGGCGGCGCGCTGCCCCCCGGCATGTTCTGGGGACCCCCGCACCCCCACCCGCACCAGCCGGCCCAGCCGCCGCACCAGCCCGGCGCCGCCAAGGACACCGGCGTGTACCCCTCGTTCCCCGTGTTCTGGCCGGCCGCCGGCAGCCTGCCCGTGCCGCCCTACCCCGCGCAGAGCCCGGCCAAGGCGGCCGCCACCGCCGTGGTGGTGGCGGCGGCGGCAGCGGCGGCGGCGGCGGCGGCCGAGCCGGCGGGGCTGGCGGGGCGGCACGGGGAGCTGGAGGGCTCGGAGCCCTCGGGCAGCGGCCGCAGCAGCGCCACCCCGCAGGAGGGCGCGGGCGCCGAGGGCGAGCGCTGCCCCAGCGCCCTGTCGCGGGCGGCGGGCGAGGAGGAGCGCTCCGGGGACGAGGCGCTGCTGGCCCCGCTGCCGCTGCCCAGGAAGGGCAGTTACCTGTCCGCCTTCCGCCCGGTGGTGAAGGACGCCGAGAGCATCGCCAAGCTCTACGGCACCCGCGAGGCGTTCGGCGGCGCGGGGCCCCCGCGGCCCCGGCTACCTCTCGCCGGACTTCCTCAGCGAGGGCAGCTCCAGCTACCGCTCGCTGTCCCCCGGCGGCGACACGGCCGAGGAGCCCGAGGTGGACGTGGAGTCCAACCGCTTCCCGGAGGACGAGGAGGAGGAGGCCGCCGCCGTGCCCGCCGTGGCCCCCGCCGAGGGCCGGGAGCCGCCGCCGCCGCGGCTGCTGGCCGGGCCCGAGGAGCCGCCGCCGCCCGCCGGGGCCGAGGGGCCCGAGGAGAAGCCGGGCGAGGCGGGGGCGCAGGAGGGCGGCCCGGCCCCCGACGGCAGCCCCGAGCGCAGCGGCAGCAGCGGCGCCTACGAGGTGCGGGGCCGGGGGGGGGGATCTGCCCTCGGGGGTCCCCGCGGGGCCGGGCCCGCTCCTGACTCGCTCTTTTGTAGGTGTTCGCGGCCGAGAGGGGGGAGCTCCTGCAGCCGCTGAAGCCCGCAGCCTCCCTGGGAGCCCCCGCCGCCTTCCTCTGCACCCCCGAGGCCAAGGGTAACGCGGGCCGGGCTGCGCAGCGAGGGCTCAGCCCCGGGGGGGGCGCCGAGGGGCCGCTTTCGTTTGGGGCTTTCGGGAGAAAAGCGAAACAAACGGGATCCGGGCGGGGAACGGGGCCGGGGCCCCCCCGGGCCCGGGGATGCCGCGGCCGGTGCGGCGGGGATGGGCCGGGGGCCGAGCTCCTGCCCACAAGCTACTTACTTTCCAACGGCAAAGCGATTAGGATGTCCGCTAAGAAGGTTTTAACGAGGGCTTTGTCCGTAATTATGTAATTAAGGATATATCAGGACCATACTTTCATTGCTTACGGTTGAAAATCGGTTTATTAACTTTAAGAGCAAGATAAAGAAGACAATCACTCCGCGGCGGAGGATTTAGAGAGCAGAAAATCCTATCAGGACCAAAGGAATGTCTCTCATCCCAGCCCTGTAAATACTGACAGAGGTAAGCACCGCTCCGCGGGGCGATGCGCGGCCCCTCCGCGGGCCCCCCCGGCGGGGCTGACGCCGCTCTGGTCCCCGCAGGCGAGGAAGGGCTCGCCATGGATGTCACGGGCACGCAGCTGGTGGAGAAGGACATCGAGAACCTGGCCCGAGGTGAGGAGCGGGGCTCGGGGTGCGGGGCTGGGGTCACGGCACCCCTCGGCCTCTCCCCGCGGCCCGAGGTATTTGTGTTTTGTGCAGGAGTGATTAACTCCTGTGATTAATGTAACGTAATGCGATTAGCGCCGCGCCGAGCCGCCTCCAGATGGAAAAGTGCGGGCTCCCCTCAACCCCGCCGTGTATTTTTAAACAGATGAGTTACAAAAACTGGTCCTGGAGCAAATGGAGCTGAGGAAAAAACTGGAGAGGGACTTCCAGAGCCTGAAAGGTACCGGTGCCCCATCCCCTGCCCAGCCCCGCCCCGGCCGGGCAGGGGGGCGCGGCGCTGACCCCCGGCCCCACAGATAACTTCCAGGACCAGATGAAGCGGGAGCTGGCGTACCGGGAGGAGATGGTGCAGCAGCTGCAGATCGTGCGAGGTAAGGCCGAGCCCGTCAGTACTTTTATTTTTGTTTTATTTCTTTTATTTCCCTTTTTAAAATTTTAATTTCATTTTATTTATTTCTAGTTTTTTTGTTTGTTTGGCCGAGGGGGTTACCGTTTATTTTTGGGTTTTTTGTTTGTGTGAGGTTTTGTTTGTTTGGAGGTTTCTTGGTTTTGAGATTTTCTTTTTTTTTCTGTTTGTTGTTGGTTTTGTTTGGGGGATTTTTTGTTTTGGTTTGGTTTTGCCTTTGTTTCGTTCTGTACCTTTTCCTGCCCTCCAACTCCTCTCGCGATTCCGAGCTGCCCCCAAAGGGCTGCGAGGCATCGTTTGCACGGCAGCGAGCGAGCCTCCCCTCCCGCAATCGCTCCCACTCGGGCTAAACTAAAACCCGAGCCGTGAAACGCCTCACCTGGCGAGCCGGGAAAGCCGAGCCCCGCTCTGCGCCCCCGTCCCCCCGTCCCCCTGCCCTGGGCGCGCTCAGCCCTCAGCCAGCGCCGCTCCCCCGTCGCAGACACGCTGTGCAACGAGCTGGACCAGGAGCGGAAAGCGCGCTACGCCATCCAGCAGAAGCTGAAAGGTACCGGGGGGGGCTCGGAGGTCCCGGGGGGACCCTCCCCGCCCGGGGGAGCCCCGGGGCTGACGGCTCGGTCCCTTGCAGAGGCTCACGACGCGCTGCACCACTTCTCCTGCAAGATGCTGACCCCGCGGCACTGCACCGGGAACTGCTCCTTCAAGCCGCCGCTGCTGCCCCAGTGAGCCCCCCGGGCCCCCACCCCGAAGCCATGCGGGCAGAGCCCACACAAGCCATTCCCACGAGGAGCCACCTGTACATAGAGGACTCGGAGCCCGGCTTTGCTCGGACTGGCGCCAGGGCGGGGGGCGGCCCCCGCTCCGCCTCCCCCTCCCTCCCCGTGTGTCCGCTTCTTCCACCCTCGTCCAGACTGGAAACAAAAGTGGCTATGTGCAATGGATATAAATGTACTGTGATTCTCTTGGTACAGTATTTGTCGGATTTTTATTTATTTATGATGTATATCTATCTCCCCCTGCCCTCCTTTCCCCCCATCCCTGTAAATTCTGGATGTAACGGCACTTTAACGGGCGGCCCGCGACTCCCGAGGCACAACAACGCTCGCCCGCTCTGGGGACAGCCCCCTCTGTACGTGACTTTGGTTCTTTAATAAAAACACGCTTGGAGAAGCCGCCTGGTGCGTGGGGCTGGCCCGGGGCTCGGGGGTCCCCGGCCGGGCCGGCGGCGGGAGGGGCTGTCCCGGGGCCCCGCCGGGCTCCCCGCGCAGCCGGAGCTCATTAATGCCCATTTATATGCTCCTTTCACACATGAAGGTACCGCATTAATGAGCTCGGAGAGCGGGCGCGGAGGTGCGCGCACACCTATTGGCCCGAAATAGCCGTTTTTTAGCCCAGAAATAACCTGGCAGCGCTGCGGGGCCGGGCTGGGGAGCGGGGCGGCCCCGGGGGATGCAGAGACCGGGACCGAGGAAGGGATGCGGGCCCGGAGCATCCCGGGGCTCGGGGCCGGGGGAGGCAGCGGAGGGGCCCGGGGCTGCCCGTGGCGGGGTCCGGCCGGCCCCGGGAGCCAGGCGGACAAGGAGCCGCTGTTAATTAGCGCTGGGCTCATTAGGCCGTTCCGCGGCCTGCGCCGCCACCGCGTGGGCGCAGCCGGAGGTGCAGCTCCTCAATTCTCCCCCTAATTCCGAGCTCGGGATCAGCTGAGCGGGGGCAGCATCGCCCACCCAGCCCCGAGGGGGAGGAGGAGGAGGAGGCACTCCCAGCCAGCGCAGGGGGGCACGGTCGAGGGGGATGAAGGCTAAAAACCCTCGGGGCGGAACCCCCGATGAGGTTTTTGGGGTTTTGTCTGTCTGGGTCTCAGAGAACGTTCTCGAGGCTCCTCTGCCCCATCCCTGGAGTGCCCAAGGCCGGGTTGGACGGGGCTTGGAGCAGCCTGGAGTAGCGGGAGGTTCCCTGTTCATGGCGGGGGCTGGAATGGGATGAGCTTTAAGGTCTCTTCCCAGCCATTCTGGGATTCTCCCTTCGGTCACGGCCACCCTGCACAGGACATCCCGAGTGTGACCCTGGGCAGAGCAGCGGGGCTGGCGGCGCCCCCAGGCAGGTGAGTGAGGGGGGATCACCCTGCAGGACACGGAGGGGACCCAGGTGTGACCCAGGGAGGTGAATTCAGGGTCTGAGTTGAGCCGAGAGGCCCTCATTGAGGGAATGAAACATTTGGACAATTTGGAGTTTGTAGAGGGGTAGCAGAACCCTTCCCTCTGCGTTTTGTGCCTCTCTGGGTCGTTGGTGCCACCTCACAGAAGTGGCACTGGGTGACCCCACGGAGGAGGTGCCCTGGGTGTCTCTCCAGCCCATAATTTCACCCAGGCCCCGCTGAGCCCACCTGCCCCAGCGGTGCCTCCCGACACAGGCACAGAAATGAGCCATTAGGTTGTGTTAATATTGCCCCACTACTTAGTGCTCATTAAAATGTGCTTTGCAGAATTTAATATGCGGCTTGAAATGACACAACGTATTAAGTGCTTAATATACTAGAAATTATGAAACTATTACAGTCTAAGTAATATGAAATAATTAGAGTGAATTAAACTTCACTGGCAGAATGAGGGAAAGGCTTCAATTTTTTTATAGTTGGTGGGGTTTTTTTTTTTGTTGCTGTTGTTTAGTCTCAAAACAGTTGAATGCGATAACAGCCCCTGAAAACAAACAGCCAGAGTCAGGATTTTTAAATAATTAAAGCAGGAAGGAGCCCGGAGCGCCTGTGTGTGAGGAACCGGGGACGGGGGAAGCAGAAGCTCCGCGGATGGAGCCGCTCTTTCGGGCGGGTGGCGGAGCGGCCCAGCCCCGGCCCCATCTGCCGCTGCCGGTCCCTGCCGGGGCTCCCGGGGACCGAGCGGCCGCTCCCGGGGGCTGCAGGCATCGGGGACCCCCGGGAAAACCCCGGCAGGGATTCCCCCCTTGGGAAGCGCTCGGAGCCATCGCGCGGGTGCTGGGGTTGAATTCGGGGGCTTTTCCTGGTGGGAGGGGACCCCTGGGGCCGGGGGATGCCCTCAGGAGGGTCTCCGGCAGCGGTGCCAAGCGCCAGCTTTAAACAGGGTGGGAATGGATGGGAGAGGGTGGGAATGCGCCACTGGGCACCGAGCGTGTCCCAGACCTCTGCTGCTCCCCGTGCGGATGAGTTTTAGATGGGATTTGGGGATGGAATTGTTCCCTGTGAGGGTGGGGAGGGCTGGCATGGAATTCCCAGCGCAGCTGGGGCTGCCCCTGGATCCCTGGCAGTGCCCGAGGCCAGGCCGGAGCACCCTGGGATGGAGGCAGGGGTGGCCCAGGATGGGCTCTAAGCTCCTTCCCACCCCAATTCCCGATTCCAGGCAGGCGCCAGGAGGTGGCGGCTCAGCCCAGCGCTCTCCTCCGGCGCTGGGATCCAGCGGAGCTTTTGTGCTCCTGCCCCGGGGAGCGCCCGGGCTGCCCCTGGGCAGGCACGGGCTGGTGCCAGCCCGGGCAGGACGCGACATTTGCGCTCCCCAGGTGCCTGTCCCCATCTCTGGGGATGTCCCAGCCCTGCCCGCTGCTCCCCGCTCGCTGTGGCCCCACCGGGGTGGCAGATCAGGGACAGCGCTGCCCCCGGTGCCAGCGGGACTTCGTGCCCGGACCATCACAGCCCGGCCAGTTCCGCTGCTCGTTCCCTTATCCCGTCCCCAGATCGGCGCTTTGGCCACGAGGATCCCGCGGACGCTGCCGGAGCCGAGGTAAACAAACCCCGCTGTCCCTTCCCTGCATCCCGAGCGCCTCAGGAACGATCCGTGCCCGGGGGCTGCACCGGCTGCTCCCAGCCCCAGCGCTCCCTTGGGATGCATCCAGCAGGATCCGCTCCATCGCCTTCCCGGGGCATCCTCTGGGCATCCTCCTCCTCTCCCGGCCCAAGGCTGTGAGCCCCGAGGGCTTTTTCCCAGCCCCAGCCCTGCTGTGACCCTTTGGGGACGATGCCGTGGTCCCGCAGGGATGCTGGCAGATTCCCAGGATCCTGCCCACCCTGGGTGCGTTTGTCCAGGATCTGAGGAGCACCTGGAGGGTTCAGGTGTGACCAGAACGATCCCGTGAGCTGTTGGCTGCCTGCAAATCCACAAAGATCTTCCTTGGGGAAAATCCCAGGGTCTGGCTGAGGACAAGGTGATGTTTAGACAAGGAACCTCCTTGGCTGGCCGGTGTTCTTTGGGTTGAAATCCAGCATTTTAGGGGTGAGTGTGAACAGGACAGCAAGGGCCTGTGCATGAACAGGGCAGTCCACATGTGAGGAGGGGTGGGTTTAATTAAATTGATTGAATTTTGGATGCTAATAAGACTTTTTGTGCGTGCATAGTGAGAAGGGAGTGAGCAGGGCAGCCCTGCCTTGCTTACAGAACCACTTTTATTTTCACACAGCAAATCGAATGCTGTGATTCTCCTGGAAACTTAAACCACCTTTTCCTGGGGTTTTTTTTGCCCCTCAAAAGCTGACAATCCCTCCCTTTGATTTCTTCTGTGACTCTTAACAAAGCTGTGGGATCTGCTCCTTTTGGAGGGACTGTTTATTGGAGATCTTGCACCTTAAGGTGCAATCCTAAGGTTCTGCATCTTATTTGATGTTATTTGGAGATCTCCAGGCTGAGCAGCTCCATCTCCTCCCCCTGTCCTCCCCAGGGGGGTGTTCAGTCCCCCCACCTCCACAGCCACCTCCAGGAGCTCCCTGTCCCTCCCAGGGCTCTGGGTGCTCCTGCAGGCGAGGGCTGAGTGGGGCAGGATCCCCTCCCTGACCCCTGGCACGGGTAGGAAATGCTGCAGAACTCCTGCCCCGAAGGAAACGCCCTTTGGAAGAGGCCAGGAGCACTTTTTGGGAATCCCTTGGAGCTGCCCTGGCTCTGGAGTGAGGCTCAGCTCAGGCTGGAAGGGCCATTAATGTCCCCTTGCCCAGCCCTGTGCTCGCAGGGCCCTGCCAAGTCTAGCACGTTTTAATTTGCTCCTTTCCCAGGCATTCCTGGGTTTATGGCTCTGCTCAGCCGGCGTGGAAAGCTCCCTCCAGAGGGTCACTCCACGCCATAACCTTTGTGGGCTCCCTGAGGAAGCTGATGTGCTATTCCCTGGAAGGTTTCCACCTGAACAGGGGCTTTGGGCTGGATTTTGTGGGAATTTGGAAGCCGGCAGGAGCCGTGTCTCTGGTGATTCTGTCTGAAGCTGGGGTTGTTACTCTGCTGCCTGCTTTAAAGGCTTCCTTGCTCTCAGGTAGGACGGATTTGGGAACACGCTAATTGTGTAAAAATGAAAGAGAAAGGGGGGGGAAAAGGAGAAACCTGTGAGAAAATGGATTTTAGTGATGCCTGCACCACGTTGAGGAGCACATTTGGAGCTGGTTACCACCTGCAGCATGAGGCCAAAGCAAACACCACCAGCCCAGCCAGCTTTGGCTGCGTGGTTGCCATAAACCATTGCAAGGGCATCCAGACTAGCACAGCCCTGGAACCACTTCTAGGATTAGGCCTTACTCCCTTGAAAAATAAACCTTGGCAAGAGCTCCATTCTCCCCAATAAAAATTCCATTTTCACAGCTCTAATCAAGTTTTCCAGAGCCGTGGTCCAAATGAGAAACTGCACACAGAATCTCTGACCTGGGAGAAGGAGATGGAGCCCTGCATTTAGAGCTGTGCCAGGCTGGAAATTTCCAAAGTTCCCGGTGTCTCACCCGTGGCAGAGCCCTGGAGTGTCCCAGGAAATTTGCTCCTGCCACAGCAAAGCT